GAACCAAATTGGGAAGGCCCTTTCGTCATCGAGAAGATGTACCAAAGAGGAGCATATCAACTCATCGATCTGAAAGGTCAAAGACCTATGCCCCCGATCAATGGGAGATACTTGAAGAAGTATTATTCTTAAAAAATCAAGTTGAAGATCATTCCCTTATAAAGGGAGAGAATATTTCTAAGATATCTTAAGAAATTCTCCCACAATATGGGGCATTTTTAAGTTTAAAAATGCCAAAAATCTAATGACAGATGAAACTTCCCTTTAAGACAGGGGGCATTTTAAATATTTACTTGGGTTATCGTTGATCCCTAAATAAATATTTAAAATCATTTATGAAGCTACAACTGCATAAATACAGGGGAGAAGTTAGTGCCTTCAAGCAATCAAATATACGATCATTGCAAAGATTGAAGATTCTTCTTTAAATTTGCCAAGATTTTAGAGTTCAAAATGAAGAGATATTTTAATCTAACAACCTCAACAAATCAAATTTGACAAGTATGAACTGTTATAGTACAAGTCCAGCGCTCAAATAGGTATAATATCAGTCTCAACAAGCCTATATGCGGCCGAGTCACTAACAGCTTTGCCTACTCAAAAAGCCATGATAAGAGGTCGTAGTAGGAAAGCACCTGTTTTGTTAGCCCAATCACAAATACTATCAAGTTCGATGTTTGTTAAACTTAACAAATCAAAACAGTTCAGATTTTGAAGATTTCCTCAACTAACAAATAGATTAAGGCAAATTTCAGAAAAAAAAAATTCAACAAGTCAAAGGCACCAAGCTATAATGAAAACTCCTATCAAATTTAAAAGCATAATCCTTCAATAAATCTATCAAGCATAAAGCTAATATCAAAGGAGCTTCTCTTCATCAACATGTCCGATAAAGCACAAAGCTCAAGATCGAAGAAGTTATCCTGCAGTTCTTGTAAAGTCATTGGCTGAACTATAGAAATATTGTTATCATCAAGGTCCATCATCCATAAAGCTTTGGACAGATGACTATTTATCACCGACCTAATATCATTCTAAAGGATTTAGGTCATCAATATGGATTCTTCATTAAGCTCATGAAAGCACAAAGCTAAGGCAGAAGAAATGTTAATTCATGACAAATCGTAAAGATAAATCATGAATTTCTAAAAGACTCTCTATGTAACATCTAAAATCCAATTTTAGAGATCCGTAGAGTCAACTAGCTTACAACAAACATGATCTGCTACAATGCGCATATCATATTTGTTGGGGGGCATTTGTTGACTGTAACTGCCGGCAAAACCGCGCACGGTTCCATGATCTCGCACAGTTATCGCATTCTCTCGACAGAAACCGCCCCACTCACGACATAAAAACAGCGCTCCTCTCATTCGGTTCCCTCACATGCGCACACAAAGGAATACAGAGAAGGAGAAACCAAAGCCCATACCTGCGCTCTCGTCCGTCTCCTCCGTTTGAGTTGACTTACCTCTTGCTCCCGTCGATCCCAACCTTCCACCGCCGCCGGCCGAACTCACCCGAGCCTGACTCCCGTCGATCCCAGCCTACCACTGCCACCGACCTAACACCAGAACCGCCGGCTAACACGAAGCCGTCGACGCCTGCATTCGCTCGTACCCTAGATCCGCTCGATCAAGATAGTCTGAAGCGACTTCCGACCTCCTGTCGATCTCCATCTCCGGCCGACTCCGACCACGCCAACAAGCCGCCTCCGACCCGTCTGTGCGTGACTCTGGCTCCGCCTCCTTATCCCGATCGGGCTCTCTACCTTAGCCCGATAATGGGCTCCCTCCCTCTCTATGTTATATGATATAAATTATATTATTATAATATAATATATACAATGTTAAGTTATATATCTATATATATATAATATTTCATTAATAATATAAGATTTTATATGTAATAAAAAAAGGGATTTTCAAACAGGTGTCGAATACCTGCGCCATCGATCTTAGATCTGGACGGATGGTTTCACAATTCGAAGACCCGCGCTGTGATCTTAGATCCGGGCGGATGATTTTAAATTCGAAGCCCCCGCACCATTGATCTTAAATTTGGGCGGTATGAAACAAAATTCGAAGACCCCATGCAGTCGATCTTAGATCCTTGTGGGATAATTTAAAATTGAAGACCCTACGCCATCGACCTTAGGTCCGGGTAGGAAGAAACTTCGGCAGATGCCGTCCTGATTTCTCCCTCGGTGGGGAGGAGACGCTGGGAGGCTGCCAAATTTTTCTTAAAAATTCGAGACTTAGAAAAATCTTTTGGACTTATAAGAAATTTGGAACAAAATAAAGAACCTCCTATACAATTAATTTATCACTTTAATTGATTACAAAATGAATATATATGGTGATAAAAAGAGACCACACTAATGAAATTCATATGATTGAAGCAGAGGCAACACATGTAAATGCAAGACATCGGGATGAAGATAACCTAACAAAATTTATGATAATTTGAACAATGAGGATTCAAATGATTTTTATGAAAAACCACATTAATATTGACTTGAGAGACAATGTTATACTTCATAAGACTGGTAATCATCTTATGAATGGATGTGTTGCATATAAATTCAACAATAATAAGATTATTTATGGAAGCAACTTTTTCCACAATCAATCTATATAAGAGTTTTATGAAAAATAATTATTATTATTATAAAACTTTCTAAAGTGGATGGCCTTCCGCCTTGTAAAGATATTCTAATGAAAGAAATTAGAAGCTTGATGATATTTCAAGAGAAAATTGTGCTTAATCAGAAAATGCAAGTTAAGTTCAAACATAATCTCAAGTCAAAGATAAGTGAAGAGCAAGAATTAGATGATCGGTATGGTTCAACAAGAATGAGAATTTGATTGTCTTAAACTACAATTATAAAAAGGAGAGAGGGAGACTCTCAATCGCATATCAAAATCAGAAATTCATAATGATATAAGGCATAATTATGAGAAATTTGTAATATGATCACTGAAATTCTATGTTTGAAAGGATTGTGGAGACTAAAGAAAATACATTGCAATACTAACAAATATACGACTATTGGTCCGATAAAATGATAAAAGTCTAAATGATTACAAAAAGAAGACATGGAAATATTTGAAATGCCAGGAAAACAGATTTTTTTTAGCAAAATTTATCAATTTAACACGCCACCGGATCCGCAACATGTATGGAAGCGGACAGAAGGCGTTCGTACGCCCTTAAATAAAACTTCGGGCCATTTTTTAAACAAAATCACTCTCGCAAATGGATCATATTTAAATATTTTAAAATGCCCCCACTTATGTATCAAATATGATCACTTGAACTAAATATACCACTGTATATGCTCCGACAAACCTATTAAAAGTTACAAACACAAATAGTCGAGAATGCTGCGCAGGGTCAAATGCTATAACCCGCATGTGCTCCAATCGACACATCTAAGTCTCAAATCCAACATTTCGAGAATATTGTGTGGGTCTAATATTCAAGTTTCATCCTTCTCCTCGAAAGGACTGGTGTTGACACGACTTTAATTGCAAAATGTCTCCCAAAACCCTACAAAAATATAAGTGACCTTAATGTCACCCCGATGATGACCGCGTTGACAGAAAATCTCAACCGGAGGGGTCAAATCTTAAATCCAATCAAATCTCTGAAATAAAATATATCACCTTAAAACTGAAATTAAAAATCATCCACTTCCTGCAACCGTTTGTCGGGGGTGATAAATTTGAAATTAACCTTAACTCACAAAGAGCGAATGTTGTGTCGGGTGTATCACTTTGATTCATCCTCAAATACTCTCTTGCCAACAGGGCCGTGGCACGTGCCCTCTGATCGGGTGGTTTTGCAACAAAATGACACCATTATATTACGATCACGGACAAAGCCCGTATGTTGTCTAAAGGCGTCAAACCCTTGAGTTATGAATCATAGGGTTTATTCAATAGGCATAAAGCTCTTTGTCAGTTAAGGTGGATTCAGATACATCCCCTTAGACAAATATCAACCCAGGTCTACAAGGTATTCTTGGACGAAGCAACTTATGGCTGCCGACAAGGTGTCTTCAGTCAAGTTGGGTCAACTACCTCCTCTGACTAAGTAGACCAGGGATCATGACAGCCCGGGATGACGGAACCATAGGATCTTGATCGGGCTCGTCTTCATTCTCCCCACCACTAGTTTTAAGTTTATGGTGATAAGTCTTAAATTCTTAAACTTTAAAATCCAAATTCAAAATTTAAACCCTAAAACATTTGCTATTATACGATAGCTTCATAACCTATGTGACATCCTTAACGACTAGCCTTAATCGAAAGTTCTCTCCTGTTATCAGTAGGGGTAATTAACTATAGGTGCTTGCGCCGATAGGAAACTAGAACTCAGATCAAAAAGTCCTCGCAAAATGAGGGCGAAATCTCTGGGTAGTGTCTTATCTAAAACCCAATCTGCCTTCTGAAAATTTCTTCGGAACATAATCTCGTTAAAACTCTCTGCCGTCATCATCACACATACATTCAAAAGAAAATTAGTCTAATGTCGTGGAGAGGCCGGGACATCACACTCAAAAATGAAATTTTCGAAGCACACAATGCCCAATCTCACCATCTGAAGTTGGGAAAACCAATTGCAAAATGATTTGGAGCCCCCAATTTAAAACTGATTACATAATTAACCAAATTAAAAAGGATTTTAGTAGCAAGTAAATAGTTCTTTGATTTTTTTTTGTTGGAACTATACACTCAGCTTTCACCCAATGGGCACTACCAATCAATTGGATGGATGAAATCAAGGTCGTATAGACCAATTTATTCAGGTTAGCTAGACAATACTCATCAATATATAGCTAAACTCGCATTAATATTAGTCTATAGTTAATTTTTAACACCTCTTGCATTCCATATTCGTGTTTCAAATATGGTTGATAACAATATATTCAGCCGGGAATAAATATTAGTGTATATCACAATATAGTTATGCGTCATTCAGAGGAAGCAAATAACCTTATAAAGCCAGTGTGGACTTTCGGCACAAAATTCCATACAAATGGCCAGCAAAGCAGCAGGAGCAGCAGATACCCAAAAGCAAATTCTCCACCTAATAAGTAATTTGTGCTCAATTAATTAAAATCACAGCAATCAAAGATAAAACAACAGTATCCATTTACCCTCCAACGGCCTCCTTCACTGCAATTCCAACAAGGAGGGCCCCTATAAGTCCAAGACAAGTGGCAATTTGAATAAGACCCCCATATGTTCCTCTTATAAATGAAGGAGAAACCTGATGGCAAAAAGGCGTGCAAGTGGGGAATAAGTGAATTGAATACAAGATATGAATCAGTATACAACAGAAATTGTTTTCTCTACCTCCGTCACATAGAGTGCAGCAACTGGCGGGCCTAAGCCCATTCCTGTTCCAACTAAGAATCTACCAAGAAGCATTGTTTGTAGATTGCCTGCACTTGCACTGCAAATGCAAGAAAAAAAAAAGTTTTATTAGAAGGATTTAATAAACGAGATGGAGTATCATCATTTCGTATACCAAAAACAAAAAGAGTATGAGTATTATTTCTTCAGTTGCCGATAAATTGAATCACTAATCGTAGTACAGACTCTGCAAGGTTTGGAAAGGTCTAACTATATAAATAGAAAGTAAAAAATTCAAGCACAAATTAAATTATATGATAGAATCGAATTCAAAAAAGAAATAAGCAGATTAATTATTTAACTACCTTAAAAACGCTCCAATAATCATTGGCAATGCACTCAACTGAAAAGCCCTACGCCGCCCAATTCCATCTGCTATCCAACCACTAAACAAGCAACCAACAAGTGCACCTCCAAGGCAAATACTCACAACAAACCCTGCAAATCAACCAACCGAACCTAAATAACATTCATCGGGGTAAGCAAAACCAAACTAGAAAGCCCAGCTCTACCTTCAGCCAAGGTGTTCCCAGTAAACCCAAGATCGATGGAAATGCTCTCGAGCGGCTCATTAACAACACTGTAATTGAACTAATTTTCATTTCAATTGCCCCTCCAAATACCAAAAATATAAATAAAAATAAAAAAGAAACAAAAACATCCGATCTCAGATTCGGAGAGCGACACGCACCCTAAGTGGTATCCAAACAAGAAGGAAGATATTGTGGCCACGCATACATGCGGCAGAGAGAGCCTCCACGATGGATTACCGTTTTCTTCTTCAGTGGGAGAAGAACTCAGCAAACGAGCTAAAAGTAACAACCGAATGACAAAAATAAAATCAACGGATTAACCACTTCTCCCATGCAGAATCAAGCCTATAAGGCAGCTCAACATGCAAATATAAAACTATTAGTCAGTCTCATCACACAAGGAAAAAGGATTCACCAGCACTCTCTTCATCATCTCGATCTAAAGGATCCATCAGTTCTCTTGAAGACAAACGCTTGTGAACGGCGGAGTTAAAATTCGGCCGCATTCTCCGATCATCCAAGCGATCTAATCCGATCCCTCCGCTACCAAAAAATAGTGCTGAACAACCCGACAAGAAGACGCCGAATCCGAAGAAATCCAATAAGAAATGGAGAAAGCAAATTAGTATCCAACCTCGATCTGATTTTCTCAGATACCTGCATCGGAAGGTCATAGACGAAAATAACAAATAAGAAAGGGCATCCGTGACACCTAAAGCCAAGCAGCAGTTCAGTTCGTCCGGCAAGCGGCTGAGCGGCAAACCTGCGCGAGGACCGGATGTCCGGCGAGACACAACACCGTGCAGCTGACGTGATATCCGAGCTTCCTTACCTCCTGCGAGAGGATCGTAACAAGGACGTCTCCATTAATGAATTATTTAGGACGCAATATAAGTATTAATGATAACTTGTCCAGTTCAGCGAAGAGCAATAGCCGCCGCCATCTAATTAATTTAAAAGGGAATTTTTTAGAAAGGAGAATGATTTAAATTTCATTTGCTGCAAATGAAGTGTCATTAAAACTTAATTTAAATTGAAGTAAAAATCCTAAACTAACAGAAGACCTTATTTCATTTTATCTTTTCTTCTGAAATAATACGAAATTGAATCAGATTTTTAAGAACATTAGATTTAGATTTAGTTTGCAAAAAAAAAATTATTATTTTTAAAATAATTTTTTGGTATAAAAGTTTCATGAATTAAAAATCTTTGTACTAAAATATTATTTTAAAAAGCAGTAAAAAAAGTCGTCCCAAAAAAATCCTTAAGAGGGTTTTTTTTTTTTTTAGTATTTTATAAAGTTGAATGTGACGTTATAATATTGCTATTGTTGTATTCAAATACGATAGCGAGAATATAGTATTACCTTCAAAGATGAAAATGGTCTGAATGAAAAAAAAAATTAAAGAAAATTTTCATTTATATAATCAAATATGACAATGGGCATATCATATCATCTTGAAAGATAAAAATGATATTCTTGAATGCATCTAAGTGTAAAAATGACTTTTAATTAAATTTGTTGGCATTTCCAAAAAAAAATTCATAAGATAGGATTTACTTTAGTCATGAGTTGCATGTTTCCCATAAAGACAAGCATTTATGACTAATTGCAATAGTGCTAGATATTTCTTAAATTTCAACGATTAAGTCTAGGATTAGAAGGGACTTGATCAATTTTAAGTTCTTTCTGGAATTCAAAGGATGAAGAATAGGGAGCACCTAAGATTCTAGGATAACCCATAAGCACTCTAGTCTATACGATATTAAGCTTTAATGTTTTAGAGACGAGATTTTTATATTTGAATTGATATTTTTATTAAAAATTTGATATTACATTCCCGGCGAATGAGGACTTATGATTTGAGATTTGCCTCAAAACTTAGATTTAAGTTGGGCATTGCAGAGTAGTGTCATGAATATACTTAAGTGAAGTGTATGAATTTCTGGACTTACATCTTCATGAAGTAGAATGTCACATAAACCACCTAATCGGCTCAAAATCATGTTATCCAGTCTTATGAAAGATGGATAAGCTGTTATTATTTAAATTTTTTAAATATATGACCACCATCTAAGAAAATCCTAAATGGCTCTACACATATGAGTGGTATTTATGCTTCTAGACATGCAATTAAATTTTATTTATTTCTAATTTGTTTCTAATGCAATTGCATGCCATTTAAATGTAAAATTAGCATGTTTTGAAGTTTTAATATAAGGCATAAAAATTAAGTTTTATCCTAAGGCGCACAACTTCCATTCAGACAAAACTGCACATTCATAAATCAGGTGGTCTGCTACTACCCGCAAGCGGAAAGGTGCCTAGCAAAAATATAATGAACGATATATATGCATGAGACCTCAAACGAGCTATGGCTTACTTCTTAAGAAATTTTTATTTTTATATGTTATCCTAAATTTTTTATTTGGTTATGAATGGAAGAATATTTTATTTCCTAAGAGCCTAACGAAATTTTAGGCATAAGCATATGCAAGAAATAAACCTATGAAACGGGATTCAGCAAAACAAGCAATGGACTGAAGATAGCACTTGAAATATTCAGCAAATCAAGGAAATTGGTTTTTGTATGAGGTTCTTAACATGAAGTGTCCTGATTTTGCAACAACATACAAGTCAGTTCAAAAAGCTTACCCTAAACCCTATAACCTGCTGTTCTCGGTTACAGCAGAGAAGCAAACTATAGGGGCTTCTGTCGGGCAAGGAGCATAAGATAAATGGTATTGAATTGCTGTTTTTAAGAGATAGATCACTTCTAATGCTCTATGTCTATCTCTAAGTGACAAATATTTCATATATTTGAAGTGATCCTCTTGATATTTTCTATTAATTAATGAACCTGTAAAAAACACTAAGTAAATCATTAGATTACAGTAGGATTTATTATCAATAAATTAACACTCCCACAACTACAAAGTAAAAATAGCATATTGTCTCAAAGTGTCAAAACACAAACACTTATATTATGTGTGTGGATGTTGAACGTCGTCCATAGACCAATCAGAATGTGCCTTGCAACCCCCGCTCGGCACTGCGGCTTGGTACCGACAGGACTGTGCTTGGTACTGCTGACGTGGCGTATTCTTGTTAGCCTCCGAATGGCGAACTACGTTTGGCGTCTGCATAGAATAATTTCTCACAAGGGCAAATTATTTTGTGCGGATGCCGAACGTCGTTCAGAGACCAATCAAAATACACCACATCACCCCCGCTCGGTACCATGGCTCGGTACCGTGCTCGGTAATGCTGACGCGACGCATTCTGTTTGGTCTCTGAATGATGAACTGCGTTCAACATCCGCACAGAATAATTTCTCCCAACCAAGGGGCTGCCAAGCATGGATGGACTACATTGATTAAAAACATTGTAAAAGGCCTATGTTGTTGACAACAACATGGTGCAAGGCCTACATTCTGACAAATGCTACTTGAGAGACAGCTTTCTCTATAGCTTTTGCCGCATACAATATACAATATTCTATCTCGTTTGTTAAATAGAAGAAAGAGTTTTGTGCTTGGTTGCTACCACTGCATCACTGGTGGTAATAGCAGAAAGATTACTGGCACAGAAAGAGATTTGTAATTAAAAAAAAAAAAACATCAGAACTACCTCCAAAGCCTGGAATAACAACACCAAGAGTCAACTCAGGCAATCCAAGCTGAGCATCTGGAGTGGATATTCGAGCATGGCTTGTTGGCATCTGAAGACAATAACACACTAAAGTTTAAATGCTTGCAGAATTTGATGGAAATATTATAATACAAAGTTATAGCTGAGTTAGGACCTTCAACAGTGCTAGAAAGCAAATTGATCGAGTCATCAGGCAAAATAGACAAATCCCCTGCCGAAACAAGAAAAATATATGAAGACTATAAAAACTTACAGGACTGAATGCTTAGGGAAAACATAACTCACCCGTCTTGTGAACTTCAGCAAAAACATTGATGTCAAAACTACAGGAAAACTTTCCACCATCACCTATTCATAAACAATTATAATCAGAAAATTTCACATTCCTCAAAAACATAGCAAGCTAAATATCCTTATTATTGAAAAACTATGATGATAGGAATATTAACAAGTGAATCATCCTAAATGGTAAGTGCCTATGACAAAGCCTGATTAAAAATTTTCTGCAGTTTATCATTCTGCAGCTATTGTGCATCACCTTGTGGCACCTGCAAAAACTGTTGCATTCATCTTAGTTTTCAAGTTCATATGACGCCTGAATGAGGTTGAAGGGAGGAAAGCAAGCCCAAAGATTTCTGGCACACCATTCCAAGCTAGCAAGGCAACCTCAACATTGAATTAAACACTGAACCAGCAAAATGTCATTAGGGCGTTCTTTCACTCGGCTACTGCAATCCTCTGTCGAATCTCCTGGGAGCTTGACATTTTATTCACACTGAATATAAGCACGATGAGTCAGAATAGCCATATATGTTACTTGTACATTTCAACTTATAAATACTTGTACAAATGCATAGAAAACTTATTTATTGCTGTAAAAAATCCACTTAAATTGCATATTTTGGAAACTCATTTCAGGCATCATTTGGTTGTTTGCTTGCATATGCATTTTAGTTTCTAAACAAGTCGAACTAAATAATGGATGTAATTAATTCCACTTTGTTTCAAATTATATTTTCTAACTTAAACCAACCGTGTGAGCGCTTAATGAAGTTAATAACAAATTCCTGCTATATTGATCTAAGTTTTAAAAATTATTACATGTAGCAAAAAAAGAAGGATCTAACAAACTCACCGGTAGAGGATGTCCCCTGTAGCTGCTGCCTTTCGAAATATCCAATCTGGAACCAATTCTTCCATTAACTCCAACTGTTCTTCAACTTCATCTAGAACCAAAAAACAAAAATTACTACACAACCTCAATGATAAAAGGCTGTGTTTCAAAGAACAAAAAGACATTATAACTTAATTCTTACTTCTATCAGTTACACTGCAGTTACAAGAAAGAATCGTGTGAACAAGCTCTTGCTTTGTAATTACAGATCTGTTCCCGTATTGAAATATGAGGAGCATTGCATTAAAAAGTTTAGGCAAACTTGCAATCAACTTCTTCCGTAGCGTTGCCCCAGCTACATTGGCATCCCTTTCCTCCATCGCCTTTTTCTCCTTGTCCCTTATCTATAAACAGAAAATGTTATCTCGACTCAATTAACCAAAACTGCATACAGACTTTGTTGCTACAAAGATAGTTCCTTAATTTATTAAAAGGATTAAATAGGCTTACATCTTGTAAAAGTGACTCTGGAAGAAAACCAAGCACATCATCTGCTACTGATGAACTTTTAGACAAGTTATCTTCATCATCTGACTTCACATTCTTTCTTGGAGTTGGAAATAATTTGGTCCGAGTTGCCCGTTTCACAAGCACCTTCTGTGGAGTATCATCAATTGAGGGTATGCGGCTTCTCTTTGGTGTCTGAAGATCTGGCATTGTGATCATCAGCCTTGCAGAAGATGGAATGTCCTTGACTGGAGTGGATTCTAAAGATTCTACTTCACTTGAAATGTTGTTGTGGGAACTGATCAACATTTTTGAATCCTCTTCAATTTGTTGGTCATGAGTCACCAAAGGTCTTTTAGCAGGAGAAAAAAACAATGGTTTCTTCTGGATGGGAGGCTTTGAAGAAAATTTAACAGGGGAAGAAAAACTAGAGGCTAGAAAATCAACATTGGTGACAACATCATTGAAGGAAGCAAGAGGAGTTTTAATTTCATCAAAACATGTGCTTCTTGTAGAAAACCTCCTTTGGAAAGATGCAGAAAAGTGTGAAACTTTAGTTAAATTTTCTGTTGGATGGGCTACAGCAAATGAACCAGTTTGAATGGAAGGGGCTAATTTGCTAGATTCTGTTGACATGCTTGGGCCTGTACGACCAAAAGGATGTGGCAGTGTTTCTTCTGGAATGTCATCTTCCTGAAAACGAGGTAAACAAGCCCTCCTCAATGAATAATAAAAAAAAAATGGAACCGAATAAATCCAAAGAAAACTACCTCTGGATGTTCTCTAGCGAATTGGACAAGCCTGTCTCTGAAAACCTTTCTTACAGCAGAATATGGACTCTCCCCTTTTAGTTCCGGGTTGCTTTCCACTGAATCTACTTGCAAAGAGATTTGAAGTTCTGGCTTCATGCAGCAAGTAGTCTCGTCATGCAAAAACACTTTTTTAATTGAAATTGCTTCGGGTAAGATATGTTTCATTTGTGCTAAATGCCTGTAAGTAAACCTCCTGAAATAGCAATAAAATGCCGAGACAAGCAGATTAATTTGCAGCCCTTGGCTTTAAAAGAAAAAGAATTTACAAAAAAAATCAAAATAAACAGAAATAACTACCTCTCTGTTAAATGTTGTATGCAAGCACTGATGTTTGTAAATGTGGCCAACGCTCCTTTCAGCCGAAGTAATTGTACTGAACTGTCCAAGCAATTGAAGAACTCTGCCAACATCTCATAACTGCAAATAAAACAAGATCATGTTCTGGACCAAATATTGGAAGAAATTATTAAGCAACAATCCAGAACAAAAAAAAAAAACCATAATTGATAGGTATATAATAAAACAAGAACAACATGGAAAATCGAATAGCCGACCACTTCATCATGCCAGAAGTGAGCAATATCTATAATAATTGGAGCATAAGCAAAGCCGTGAAAAATAAAAAGAACCAATTTCAACTTGAGTTTTAACTTTGCAAAGTTAAACAAAATTTAAATAAAAAAAAAGTAATAATTCAGATCATCTTTACAAAGAACCAGCAAGAACTCAGAAACCTACTTTTCTGAAAGCTTCCCGGTCTTTCTGGCAGCTGAATCAGAAGACGATTGAGATTTGCGCTGCAGCTCGCCATGGGATCTGGGAAGATCCGATGGATTGGCGGATTTGTTTCCGGTCATCCGCAAGCCCTTGGCGACACTACGTACATCGCTGACTGAGAATAATAGACGCCGTTTGCTGGCCCGCCGAGGAAGCTGGGCCGACTTCTCCGGCGTGGGGATCTCATCTGACGCCGATACCTTAGCAGATGAAACCTTGCGCCGAAGCGGGAAGTTCAACGGCATCTCCTTCTTCTCCATGTCGCCGGAAAAACCAGATGACTTCACAGATTCCATCTCCGGCGCTGCCATATCTCCCGCTCCCGCTCCCGCGCCCGCGCACGCTTCAGAAAAAGAAAACGAACAAATTTTATTTTCCGGCTCGCGCTGCATTATTGAGATGATATTTTTTACATTTTTTTATAACATAATAATTATAGTTTTGATTAATTGGATTAAATAGTATTTGTTTATTACCTTTAGACACATTAATTATAAAAAAGACCCCTAAATATTACATGAAATTAATAACTATGTCATTTTATTAATATAATTTAGTGAGCTTGAAATTAAATTAATTTTATATTGATATTTATTTAAAATGATTTAATGCGTAGAAATACTTAGAAAGACATAATAAGCCAACATTTAGCTAAAATATAATTTTATAATTTCTTAATATAAGAAATAATTAATAATATTTAAATATTTTTAAAGATATTTCATTATTTCATTTCTATTTTTACTAAATTATTTAATCTTAAAATAAATTTAATGAAGATTAATGGCCCCACTTTCATCTATAACCTTTTAATATATATAAAGATCTATTGATGGAGTTAAGGGTCGACCTCTCACATACCTTAATAGAATAGACAAACAAAATATCCCAAATGATAAGGTTGTTGATAACCTCAAACATAAGGCTTGTGGTGTGGGCAACCATAAATGAGATGATGAGCTTATGATCGAAGGAGGTTACCTAATGAGATTTTTTTGTCAAGTTGATTGCAATTTGCAAAACCTAATTCTAAAGGAGTTGAAGTTGTGTTAAGATGACCTTCGCTTTCCTCCCTCTTGATCATGATCCTAACCAACACAATCTTAAAACTTGTTAAATTAAACCCGGACACCCAAACTCAACCTGTTTTAACCCAGGAAAATAGTGCGTGAGTCACGTCCATGCTGACCTAAGATGTCCCGTCTGCGTTGCCACCGTCTCGTCCACATTGTCGCCATCTCGTCGAGTGACCAATGCCTCCTTCGACAACATTCCTTCCAGCGAGACAATGACTGGCTGGCGGGTCGTGTCGGTTTGACCTAGGTCAAAAGCAGGAGTGGGTTCGGGTCCGAGAAAATGACATGTTTTAAAAAATGAGTCTAGTCAATATGTGTCGGGTCAGTTCCGGGTTCGACCCGAACTCAACTCGTGACCTAATTTTGACAGCTCTATATGAAACTTATTGGACATATGAAATGACATAATGAGATATTAGGTGGATCATATTTTTTGAACCATCCATAAATGCAAAACCATGGAAACACTATAATTGGACACATCTAGAGTTTATTCTAAAACCATGAAACATTAGAAATAGTTTATTTGTAGATAATTTAATACCATATAGTCAAGTTGCCTCATCATATTCATACTTGCTATTAAGAATTATGCCATATAATCTCCATCCTGATATATGAATGATAATCCCTCATATATGTTTGACACTCATTAGTCGTGTCCACTTAATATAAAAGGAAAAAAATAAATGCACACTTATATTTGTTGATATACTTGTTGAAAATCTCATACTAAGAAGGTATTCTCATATTTAGTATTTTGAGAAATTAAAATTTTCATATGAAAGATGCGTTCATACGAACAGATAATTTCTAACATACTATATGTTACAAGGGTGGAGCATTACGAAGAAATTAGCTTACCCATTGTTGCATGTGATAACATTCATGACACTAGAGTGAGAGAGTTTAACATCTTATTATTGCATTAAAGTTTAACATTAGACATATTCATAAGAGATGAGTTGCAGTAGACACTAGAGTTTTTACATAGAATAAATGAAAAATAAAACTATAAGGCGTAGCCTAATTGAAATAGTAATTGAATGATCATAGTTTGATGATGATAGTCAGAGGATCATAGTCAAGTAATGATGATCATATAATCATAGTTGAGTGATGACAGTCAGATGACTGTAGTCGGGTGAAAGTTGTTAGAGGACCATAATCAACGATGGTGGTTAGAAGATTGTAGTAAAGTGATGATGGTTGGAAGACTATAGTCAAGTCAAGTGAAAATTGACAAGAAATGTATTTAGGTAATAAAGAAAAAAAAAATCATAATTGAGTGATGTTAGTTAATTCCCCAAAAAAAAAGTGATGTTAGTAAAATGACCTAATAGTGGTCAAATGGTTGTAGTCGGTCAATAGTGGTATGAGGATCATAATTAAGTGATGGTAGTCGGATGACTATAATTGGACAATGATTGTTAGAGGATAGTAGTAAGATGAAGTTGGTTGAAGAGTTGTAATTAGACAATGATGATTGGAGGACCATAGTTGAGCAACGGTGATTGGAGGATCATAATCTAGGGGTGGTGCTCAATTGACGGTGATTTGATGGTCGTGGTCAGATTATGGTAATTGAACAGTGATGATTTTATGATGGTAGTTGGCCCACAGTAGTCGGATGGTGGTTCGTTGAACTTCTAGGATTCTTCAAGCTTTTTGAGCTCTCTTAACCAAGGTTTAAAGCCTTCTTTATATAGATAAGGGGTCTATTTATATATTTTTTAGAGTAACATACCCCATAATTATAGCTATAATCCATAACACTCTATTAGATTGCTCGTATTAGCTCCCTTGATCATAGACTGTCCTTTTACCATTTTGATGCCTTGATGATTTTGAAATTAAACTATTTTGATCTCGTTGGATCATCTCATTGAGGTGCTCAATTTTACTATAAGTATGCGAGATTTAGATATCATTTGATCCACAAATTGATTCCTCAATATTTTTTAATTATGCATCAAGTGCTGGTGCTTGATTTTTGATCATTTTAGACTCGAATGATGTCACTTTTGATGTCGATGGATTTGTCTCATTGAAACATTTAGTTTGACTATAATTTTTACTCTTAGAGACAGAATACGAAACGAGCGCATATGTGAAAAGATTGGAGTAGCTCCAGTGGTATACAATATTAAAGTGTCGCCTTAGATGGTTTAGTCACATAAAACAACGCCCTTCCGATGACCTGGTTATGAGAGTAGATGTATTAAATTTGACTTATGTTAAGAAAGGTAAATATAGACCTAAAAATTTTTTATTAGAAAATATTAGAAATGTCATTCCTTTATAAGATTTAAATGAGAATTTGAATCTTAATATGACACAGTAGAAAAAAAGATTCTTGTAATCAACCACAAATAGTGGAATAAAGGCTTGATGTTGTTATATTAAATCAAATAAAAGCATTATGAGTTTAAGCTCTGAAGATATCAAATGTGCGTTCATCAAATTTAATCATATGCATAGCTGTTATGTCAGATGAAATATTTCAAAGGAAAAGTCAATAATATCAATTAAGACCACCACAAATGATAATGATATGCTGTTATTTTAGAGAGAGAGAGAGAGAGAGAGGCAATATGAGGCCCACTTCATTCATGTTAGCTTTTGCTGGTTCATTTAGGTTTCGTTTGGGACGGCCTCTAAAAGCATCTTTTTAACAAAAAATAAATTTTTTATTACTAAAAAACTACTTTAATAAGCAATAAAAAATCTATCTCAAACGAAACTTTAGATGCATCTAGACTCAAATTCAAATGCACTTGTGCTTTAAAATTGACTTAATAAGACAATCGTCTCTGCTAATTTACACTTAATTGAGGTAATTAGTGTTTAAATATCCTAATTAAACTTAACTGGACTTCATATATAGGATTGTTAACCAATTAATTAATTGAACAGAGTAATTACAGAACTAAAAGATATTTAATTACTCTTTATCAGGTTGATTAGTGTTTGATTAACCTGAAAATAAATTAAATGAATAAATTAAACATAAATTTGAAGCCTTATGGCTCAAGGCTCTTATGTCATTGTATGCCTGACAAATTATTCTGTGCGGAGTCCGGATGGAGGCCAATAAAAATGTGCCACGTCATCCCAAAAGTATACCGAGCACGGTACTGGATGGTTCTCGGTGTCCGCACAGAATAATCTCTCTGTATGCCTCAGCTTAATTATCCAATAGCTATAGGGCATGGAAGCATTTTGCTAAGTTTTCCTGTCGATGCTTTCTAAGGTTTTGTTTGGGGCAGCTTTTGATTGCTATTTCCAGTGAATGCTCGTATGGTAATGCTCCCATCACACAATGTATGACGTTAAGATCTTACCAGTCACCATATAAGGAATCGATAAGCAGTACAGACAAGTCATTTACAGAAAACTGCCGTTTGAAAATCAGAATGGCAGCTTATTTCAATGTTTTTCTCAATAATGAATTACATCAAATGACAAGTTAGAACTTACAAGAATTATTCTTTCCAATGTTCGGATACCAGATCATCACAAACTCTCCAAGCATGACCTTGAACTAACATAGGCTTAGCCTCTTAAATGTTCCAATGGAATGGTATTAACGCACTAAAGTCTTGCTTGCAATGCTTGCGAGAGAGATGAATTTGCCGAGCTCTGTTTAAAGAGAGAATAGCAGTTCAGAGTAAATAATATAGAGGCACGCTGTGACAGGGGGAACAAGTTTTTTTAATGCAACTACTAGTAAACAAAAGCACGTAGCTAAAATAGTTCCAATGTTAAACTGTTAGTTCATAATCACCAGAAATTAAAAAAAAAAAATGCTCGCTTGGATCCATTTCTGTAAAAACTGATCATGAGAATCTATTGATATGAGAAGCTATAGTGACAAGAAAGTTTCTACCACACCTTTAAATGCAGAGTGTAAAAGCAAAGTGACTTGTAATAGCAATGGGACACTAATCAGCTCTTGGAGAAATTATTCTGTGCGGACACTGGATGGAGAGAACCGTCTGAATTTGCAGCGTTTTTGCAGAAGGACAGTAAAATGACTACAAATATTCAATTATGAATATATTTTTATTGCACTTTTGCTGTCCTTTTGCAAAAGCATAATAAATATTTAATAATTTAGTAAATATTAAATATTTGCTAATTTAGTAAATATTAAATATTTGCTGCCCTTTTGCAAAAGTGCAGCAAAATGGCAATAAAAGCGCAACAAATCCAGACGGTTCTCTTCGTCGATGTCCGCACAAAATAATTAGTCCAGCTCTTGTGGTTGTTTCAAAACCATTCTTGGCGTCCCCACCCTCTGGATCGAACTCCTAGCTCTCTTCTTAGTACGCTCTACAAACTCGTAAAGGAGCCCACCATTCCACTTGAGGGGTCCTTTTTCTTCTTTCTGCCAGTTCCTGTCTCTTTAGCTGTGTATGGGCTGTTACTCATAGTGAATGTTCTTCCCTCTTTTTTTTTTTTTTTGGGTGTTGGGAAGACTTAGTCGAATCCTATACCAGTCTGTACTCCTAGTTGTCATTTTCTTTTTATATCAATGAATGCATAATTCACACTTTCAAGGACGCAATGCAACACGATATTGACTAATAACCTTTATTCTACTTATCATATCATGAATTATATCAGGTTCCACTGCTAATTCATAAATATTCCTCCCATTATAACTAATTCAGAGAAGAAACAATCATGAAATAAGTATAATAATGAAGCAAAGAAGAAAAACAAAGTACCAGTGGTAGGCCATTTGCAGCTCTATCTTCCAAGTACTTGGAAGGAGTAAAGAATCTGCCATACGCATCCTCCAACTTTTTGAGCTTTGAGTAAATATAGCTAGATCCAATTGTATCAGCCCAGAACACCAGACCACCCCTTCAAACAAAGCGAATAATATCAGATGAGTTGCCAATGCGAACATGTAATGAGGATACGAAAAATCTGAATACTAAAATAGATTGGGATTGAAATACGCCAAGGCCTAGATTAAGGCTTCGTTTGGGACGGCTTTTTTACTGCTTCTTAAATCAATTTTTTAGAACAAAAACTAAATTAAAATGAAACTTGAATTACTCGCATGTGCTCCAACAAATACGTTACACTCTTAAATCATCATCTAAGAATGTTGAGTAGGTTAACATGTAAAAACAAATCTAAAATTCCGAGACTGATCCTTCTTCTTAAAAGGACTTGAGTTGACAAGGCATGAACCTGATGAATGAATGTGCATTCAAGAATCTCATGAAAATATTAAATTTTTTAAGTTCACATTAGATCTTCAAAATCTTTTACAAAGAAAATTCATTATAAAATACAATCTTTCGGATAACCGCAAAGCCGATATTGAACTCGATCCTCTATTAGTAAACAAACATAAATGACAAGATTAAATAACATAATTTTGCACGATAGTATAAATTAAAATCCCAAGTCCAATCCTTCATCTAAAAAAAAATATCAAAGTTAACTAGACTCGATTTAACAAGCGAGAATAGGATCATGAAATACTCATAAATATTTGATTTATACATTCACATTAGACCTCCAAAATCTTCTTTTAAGAAAATTCATTGCGAATAAACACGAAATCTCAATTTTAAATGTCTATATAATGATTGTGGGCTCCGAAAATTCATGCCCCAGCCTCTCCACAGCTCCTTTTTTTCTTTCGGGTCGTTGAGGAGAGTTTTGAAGATTAAGTTCCGAGGCAAATTTTCAAAAGGTAAATTGGTTATTGAATAAGACATTACTCACAGATTTCGCTCTCATTTTGCGAGGAATTTATGATATAAGTTCAAGTTTCCTATAGGCATAAGCCTCTATAGTTAATTACCCCTTCCGGTAACGAGAGAGAACTTTCGATTAAAGGCTAATTGTCAAACAAATACATAGTATCTGGTGTATAGTGTCAGCTTGTTTTAGGTATTTGAAAATCTAATATTCAAATTTGAAAATTTATCACCTTGAACTTAAAGTGGATGGTGTGGGGAATGATGATAGACCCGATCAAAATCTCATAGTTCCGACATCCTGGGTCATCATGGTCCCTGGTCTACTTAATCAAAGTAGTCGACCTAACCTGACAGAAGGATCCTTGTCGGCAGTTAGGGGTTGCTTCATCCAAGAGTACCTTGTAGACCTGGGGTGAATATTTATCTAAGAGAACATATTTGAATTCACCTTAGCTAACAGAGGGCTTTGTGCCCTATCAATTATATCTTATTGATTCATTACTCAATGATTTAATGCCGTTGGAAAACATATGGGCTTTTACCATGTTCGTGATTTAATGGTATTATTTGGCGGCAAAATCACCCGGTTAGAGGGTTCCAGTCATAATCGTTTACCTATGGTTCCATTAGGCGGCGAAATCATCGATTTGAGGACACGTGCCACATCCTTACTAACAAGAGACGAATTGAGAATGGATTCTAGTGATATTCTCAACTAGTCATTTGCTCTTTGTGAGCTGAAGTATTTTTTAGATTTGTCCATCTCGGTAAACTATTTCGGAGGGTGGATGAAAATTTTGCTTTTTAAGTATTTTTGTGTTTTATTTTAAATTTAAATATTTTAAGTTTTGAATTTTTGTAGGAATTTGTGAGGCATTTTTTTTTAATATTTGAGATCTCATTCGATTGAGATTTTCTGTCAACATGGCTATCATCAGAGTTTTGGGTAATCTTGCTTTATTAATAGAGTCTTATCGACTATATCTACTTGTCGACGGAGGATTGGGTCCATCGTCGGTTTCATGAGTTTATTAATAAGGCTTTCTTATAGTAGACCTTGAAGGCCTAATATGAACATATAAAATAATTATCCCGGTTAGGGGTGTAAGTGAGCCGAGTTGGCTCTTAAACCGGCTCGAGTTCGACTCGATAACGAGCTTGCAAGCCGAGCTTATCGAGCCATGAGCTCGAGCTCGTTTATCAAACGAGCTCGAGTTCGAGCTTAACAAGGCTCGGCTCACAAGTCGGCTTGAAACTATTAAATTTAAATATTTAAAAATAATAACGATAATCCTAGCCGCTCTCGTGTATTTTAAATTCCCGCATGCCCACGCGTGTATTTCAAATTTTAATGGGCTACCTCTCTCTCTCTCTCTACTAATAGCAAACCCAAAAAATCTACTCAATACTCTCTCTCTCTCTCTCTCTCTCTCTCTCTCTCTCTCTCTCCTGCTAACTGCAAACCAAAAAGACCTCGAATAAATTTTTTGAGGGCCGCGCCGGAGACTCGACGAGCGGCTCGAACTTGTTTACGGTGGAACGAGTCGAGCTCGAGCTCGATTTTTGAGCTCGACTTGAGTTCGAGCTCAAGATCAAGCTCGTTATTTGATAGTTGAGCTCGACTCGACTCATTTGCACCCCTAATCCCAGTCAACACCGCGGTAGTATATTTGTTTAATGGCTTGCGTCGTGTCAACTCGTATCTATTCACATAGAAGGATCGGGCTTGAACTTAAGTTCATTCCTTGACCTTCATAGCATCCTCAGACATCATGTGTGTACACATCACGTTCTTCAGGGCCCATATGGGTGTATGATTTTGCATGTATTTTATAAGATGTATTTATAAGGAAGTTATATGTATGCAGTGCAGCAGACGTATGAACATATGTAGAGGTAGCATTAATAACATATGAACATATTCTACCAGCTATCTGCGAGCAATTCTAATGGTTTTGCATTTCAAGTGATCCTCATATGAAGCTCAAATGATAATATAGAAACACTATATAAACAAGGGAAATTAATTAAGTTCATTTTAAGTTCACTCACCTATATTTGGGAAAACCCATTCCAAGTATAGAAGCAACATCAATATCAGATGCTCGAACTACAACTCCTTCATCCATTACCCTGCATGCCTCATTTACAACTGGAAAGAATATCATCTCCACAATTTCTTGGTCTGAAACACTTACAGGCTAAAAGAAGCATTATTTAAACGTGTTAGGGATTTGCTGCATAGATTAAAAGCATTACGACAGTATACAACTAGTATAGTCATAAAAGGCAATTAGTTTCTCAATTTTTATATAATCTCTTTCTTTCTTTTCTAAGCTGAATCTTTGCTAGGGAGCTAAGATAAAAGGCAACCTTTACACCAGATGTGATGAGAGTACGCTTTCTAGATTCATCAATGACAGTTTGTATGGAGGGGTCAGGTTTTGGTTTGCTTCCTGATTGATACAAGTAGTAACCCTTTCCATTTGCTTTCCCTATCAAATAAGAACAATCCAAGGTTCACAAATAGCACATTCATACAAAAACTACTGCAACAGCAAACTAAATTGGTTCACTTTACCATTTCGACCACTTTGTATCATCAACTCAAGAAGATCTGTCTCAAATGTACGCCCTTTGAAGGAAGAAGCAAATATTGGCTTAACTGCCAAAGCCACACCATATCCAGCCACATCTTGAAGTCTACAAGCACACCAAAGCACAATTAACAACAAAGATAATATCATATAAATCAGTTCCAAATGAAAATTTTACCAAAAGCTTAAAAGTAAATTTCTAGCTGTTTGCCTCAATAAATTGTTTACACAAACTATGCAGTGTAATAAATTCCAGTTGCTATCTACTAATTTATTTTCAATTTATTTTCTTGAAGTCATAAATGCATGTAAGATACAGGCATGTTAGAACTCACCGTCATTTCTTCTAGTGTTACCACAAAATTGTACCAAAACTATTGTAAATTTCAAATGAGCAAGTATTGAAGATAATATACATTTACTGTCACAAATAGTTAACAAAAAAATTATCTTTTCATCAGGGGTAAATCTAGAAAAAACATGGGAAAATTCTCAAGAATATTGGGCAACTTACTGAAAAGGACCCATTGGCATCCCAAAGTTTCTTATCACTCTATCAATCCTGTATAGATCAACTCCAAGATGCAACAGCATCTGAGCTGCTTGGTTGTATGGAAAGAATGTCCGATTCACAGCAAAGCCTGTGCAATTCCCTACAACAACAGGGACTTTCTTTATGATCTTCCCGACAGTCATCAGATCCAAAATTACTTGTGGAGATGTCTTTTCTGTGCGGACAATTTCTAGCAAAGGCATGACATGAGCAGGGCTGCAAAATTCATATTTTCAGAATAGCAAGTCCACATGTAGAGATAACATACAAGAATTTGGTTAAGACGGTGGGTTGATGGTTAGTCTGTGCATTAGTTATTTGGAGCAGCTTCAACAATGATAACATTTGAAGATTAAATACTGTACTGTAATTAACATAGAAATGGGAAAATAGTCTTTCAGAAATACTTTTCTAGCTTTATGAAGAAGGCAATAAATAATTATCTATCTATAATAATAACTGGTTGTTTATCTTTCCGGCATTAAAATAAATGCTTTAATTCTCCAAAAATGCTTTGTAAGTCCTCATAAAAACAATTGCAGAGTAAGTGGCATACTGCTACTCTAAGTTGAACTTCCATAATTCCTATGTTTAAATTTCAGTTTCTTGGAAAGTCGGCCAAAAAAGTTTTAGGATCATTATTCGAATATTGTTGTCAAATGACATACATATCACATTTAAAAATAAATGAAATACAAGTTTGTTTCAATGGTATAATCGCACCAAAATTTAAGCCTCACATTATGCAAATTTTTAAGAAGCTAAACAATCTGTCTATGAGTTTTTGTGATTTTCCGGGGAATATTTAATTTACAACAAGAGATATTATCCATATTACATTTGAAACAATTGATATCAGATATTTTTTGAATGTTTTCCATCAAGTTAGGCATGAATGAAGTGCTTTTGAGCTCATAAATCCAAAGATTAATGCTAATAGGGTCAAATAAGTTTAACTACAGATTGAATTTATTTGCCTAAACTTGTTTTTGTGTTATATGGATTCCAAGTTGACCAGGCCAGATGACAGGCTGCCTACTAATTGACTATCTTTCATGCAGTCCTTTTTGACATAAGAGTTTAGCCTTTGCTCGATTGATAGCCTGTTTTGGTGTGACAACCGGTTTGTTTCAGGTAAGTTCCTAAAGAAATAATGGCTGAAAGAGAAGAACATGTTTACAGAAGACGAGGAGCAAATGATAACAGGTAAAATATATTTTGTGTTTTAGTGGCTCTTTATCATGAATGATGTAGTATTATGTTTAATGAATTTTATCGTCCGACTTTTCGTACCCACCTCGTTAGATCGAGTATCCGGGCCGGGTCGTGACATTTGGTGTGTAAAGGAAAGAATGATGAGGTCAAAAATAGCTCAAGGTTGCTTGTCCAAGTCCCATTATCAGTTTTGATGACTCCTTGACCATTCAATTCTATGTAGAGCTGTATTTAGCGTTTGTTTTCAGTTTGACTGGATCCTTCAAACCAAATTGCAACCATTTTAGCCTTGCTCTTTCTTCTTATTCCCTTATAGTAAAAGCTAACTCCCCATCTTGTGCTTCTACTGACTTGGCTGAGCCGTTGATCTAAAACATCGTTAAAGAATACTTCCATTCAACAACATGATATTAGTGCTACGAACTTTTGGATATGACTCATGTTCAAGAAATGCTCCCATCTTTAATATTTCTTTTCTGATAGACAGTATTGATTTTTGCCTGTTCTATTGAATGGCATAGGTGATATATATCACATTAACTCCTATAAGGATCAATTTAAACATGCAGAATGATTTCAAAGTTTTTTTTTTGGTCTTTCAAACTGAATATTCATTTGCTATCCAACAAATAATAGATCTTATGCAGTATTGGTCAAACTTTTGTCAAAGCTTAATTTTTAAAATTATTACTTTCTATCAGCTTGCAATTTGTCTTGAATCATGTCTATGTTGAACATTAAATAAAGATTTGTTGTTGTGATTGTTAGTTTTGTGCGAAATCTGATTATGTTGATCAATCAAGTTGTATTGTTGTCTCAGACCTCAATTTCATTGCTTGAGCTTGTTGGGGGGCGCAGGGGGTCCTCTCCTATTTGGGTTTGTGTATTTTGCAACGTACAATGCTGCGGCACTGTATACCTGGACAATGAGGACCTTTATAGTTTGTTTAGAGACAAAAGGAGAGTGGAGCACTGCAGTGCTCCAAACCCTGGAAGGCGCTGCGGCACTGTCAGGCTGGACAGTTTTTTATTATTTTTCATACAGGGTTGTGTCCTTTTGTGGTTTAACTATGTTGCTCTTTGTTAGTTTTTGTATGAGAACAGTGCAAGAGTTAAGAGAGACAAGTAGAGTGCGAGAGAAAAATATTTGTACAAATATCTCTCAATTTTCATTATGAAATTCATGGTGTGATGTGGCACTGTAGTTTTTTTCTAGTTCGGGTGTTTTTCCACATTAAATTCTAGTATTCTTTCTTTCCGCTGCATTTTTTTTCTTGTTTGTGTTCGCTGCATAGTTTACTTCCTCAATAATGACACTAACCTACTTTTAACAAATGATATATTGTCATCTATGTCTTGTTTCTCGTCACAAGGCACATTATAATAATTCTTCTTTTTCTAGTCCATCGCAACAATGCATCTTTTTCTAGCACATTCCTCATCTCATTTAAACGTTATTTTTTCATTATCATATTTATTGATCATGAAAATATGATTTGCACATCATCTATGGAAGAAAACTGACCTGAAGAAATGGGCTCCAACAATACGGTCTTGAGACTTTGTCCTCTCACCAACAATATTCAAATCAATGGTTGATGTGTTAGTTGCCAGAATACAATGTCGTGGGCAAATATTCTCGATTTCATTGAATATGGACTGTTTGAGTGGCACCTTTTCAATAACAGCCTAAAAATAGAGTAAATCTTTGAGGAAAACCTTAATGAACAAATTACACTAAGAAAAAAGAATCTCAGAGAAAATTTTCAAGCAAGCAACCAAACAGTCAGAAATAAAAAATGCATGGGCTGAGATAAGCATGGACAAGTAATTGGAGAATCTGAATATTATCATCATTGTATAAAACTTCATAACACAATTTTTTTTTTCTTTTCCAATTAAGGTTTACTCAGCATATAATCATCTACGCTTTTCACATAAAGACGGAATGCTACTTCTTATATTTTAGATTCTCACTTGTAAAAGAGCTAAAAATTCTACCTCTATAACCATATCGACCTCCTTAAATTCAGAGTAATCTAGAACACCCTTGAGAAGTGTCAGGGCCTCGTTCTTTTTATCCAATGTTAATGATCCTTTCTTCATCAGTCCTTCAAGGTTTGCTGAAACAAAAATCATGAAGTTGTGAAGAAACTGTAATAAAAAATGCAAAGTATGTTAACAAAAAATGCTATCGATGGCTGAAATCATCGATAGCACTATCCCAACTAATTAAGTTGGCTTTATGATTCCTCATTTTCCATTTATCTTCTGTTTAGTGTTGCATGCCGTACTAATTTTACTGTACAAGTCTTTTTTTAATAACTTAAATATCAATTTACCTTTAACCTACCATTTTCTATGCTTGATCCTTCATGGTAATTGACTAATGCGACTGGAGGAATATAAAATATCAATATCTAGAAATGTATCGGAGGATTAAAACATGTTCTTTTCTGGAGGAATTTTAATCTTTTATGATGTAGAGTACATTGACTTAGGCAAATATATGAAACTAATAATTTAAACAGAAAAACAGGCAGAGAAAAACCAATTTGTTAATTGATACCTGTAATTGTTTTAATTCCTCGCTGAAGTAAAGTAGAATCAATTTCTTTGAGAATGACAAGCAAACCATTCAGAATAAGAGCAGTAGCTATACCAGAACCCATTAAACCACCACCAATAACTGCAACTTTTCTTATATGACTTGACTTGAGGCCAACATCACTAACATTAGGTACCTGACGAGAATAACACAGATAGAGAAAGAGCGGGAAAACCAATAAGCAAAACATCAAAGTTGAAGGCCAAACAGATGACTACATAATCTTTATCTTTATCTTTTTCTATATAGAACTTCCAATAACTCCATTAGGAGAGTAGATATATTAAATCAGAGGAATATTAAGAAAGGTAGAAGTAGACCTAAAAAAAAATTGATTAGGAAGCATTAAAAATGATATTTTTTTCTATAGATTTAAATGAGAATTTGATTCTATATAGGACATAATGGAGAAAAAAGGATTCATGTACTCGACCCTATCTAGTGGGATAAAGACTTGATATTGTTGTTGTTATAATTATGGATGCTTATGATGACTGTCGAATGAGAGTCAATAGCAACATAGTGATTAACATCATACTATGCATATAGATTTGATGAATTTCATCTTTTGTCAAGGAAAACTTTAGGGATGCATTCATTGCCTAGAACACTTGTAAGAATCTGGAACAAGATTCAATGGAAATCGTAAGAAAATCTTAGAACATATCACTACATAGAGCAAAGAAGTTGGTTTAGCAGCTTTTATAAATTTAAGTTTACTCCAAGGTATATAAATAACATAGGCTTTTGTAACAAATAAAAGTAATCCTAATTTCACAATAAATAGGCCAAAAATATTTACCTTGGAAGTTGCACGTTCAGCAAAAAAGGCATGGACAAGACTTCTTGCAGTTGTTGTCAGAATTATCTCCTTAAAAAGTCTTGCCTCCTAAAGGAAGTAAGTCTAAATTAGTACATCTGGAAGGTTGTGAGAAACAAGTGAAATCAATATATAGCAACCAGAACATGGAAAACTTGTTTGCGCAAAATGTGATTGCTGCCACACATGCGCGAACCTCAGGAGGATTTTCAATCCATCCACTTGCAACAAGCCATTTTACTGCTAGATCGGGCACAGGCAGAAAGTGGATGTGGTGCGAGTCTAATATGCTATCAACTAAACATAGGATTGTTAACTTACAGACCTTAGATATATTATGGAATGCCAGAAAAAATTTGGGATCCTAATAGAAAAAACTGTCCAAAATTAGTTATTCTACTGCTTAATTCTTTCAGCTGAAGTAACCCCACTTTAATCATAGTACCTTATGATGTGGAATAATGTAACTTAATACAGGTCTCACAAAAACACGAACTCCCAATGACGTGCAAAGTACTGTTGATGTAAAAGTAAAAGCGCTTACTTTCATAAGACCCGCATATCCCCCAAAAACTATGCCTTCCTCAATTGCATCAAGGCACACTTGATTCTGCGGCATGTTCGGAGAGATCTTCTTTGCATGTTTTCCAGAAGAATGCAGTATCTTACGTGCTTCAGAAAGAGAAGTAAGTTTATCAGTCCGCTTAAGTGAGCTAATCCAAGGTTTACTCCTTTCAGCAATTTCTAATGCCCATTGTCTTGAAACAATCAACAAATTCTCAGGAGACGTAGTAGCATCAACAAGGCCATACTCCGTCCCTTCTTTAGCTCTTATTGACTTGGATAACTGCATTATATCGTATAAATATCACTATGTTATTACACAAACTGCCAAACAAATAGGAAGTGCCGCACTTATTTTTAGAGAAAAGAGTATTCTTTCTTCAAATGATATCCAAGGGGTGAACCATAGTCTCCAAGCATTTTATGTTCTAAATGAAAAAAGAAAAAAAAAATTGATTGTGTTATTTTAACTAAAAAATTAAACCATCACAGCATTTTCATGCTATAACAATTCCCCGACAATTTTTTGCATCTTTGTTTTATTTTCTCAAGGTAAAACAGACTCGTGCAGAATAAACACTAGCAACTAAACTTTAAATACCAAAGTATATTCACTCACCAACATCATTTCTACCGCCTTTGGCAGACCCACAAGCCTAGGAAGACGCTGGGTGCCTTATAGAAAAATCAGATATTAGAAGAAAGAATGTTTGGAAGATATAGGATCAGATAGCATTAAAGTTACTGAAGCTCGATTTGTGATTAAAAAAAAAAACATCTGAAGTACCTCCAAAGCCCGGAATAACACCAAGAGTCAACTCAGGCAATCCAAGCTGAGCATCTGGAGTGGATATTCGAGCATGACAACACTAAGCAAAAGGAGCACCATAAGCAAAACAGGACATGAAAAATGAGCTAGAACAAAAAAGGCTAAGAATCAAACCATTGCCAACTCCAAACCACCTCCTAAAGCAAGTCCATGAATGGCTGCAACAGAAGGCTTGTTGGCATCTGAAGACAATAACACACGAAAGTTTAAATGATTGCAGAATTTGATGGAAATATTATAATACAAAGTTATAGTTGAGTTAGGACCTTCAATAGTGCTTGCAAGCAAATTGATCGAGTCATCCGGCAAAATAGACACATCCCCTGCCGAAACAAAAAATATATATATATGAAGACTATAAAAATTTACAGGACTGAATGCTTAGGGAAAGCATAACTCACCAGTCTTGTGAACTTCAGCAAAAACATTGATGTCAAAACCACCGGAAAACTTTCCACCATCACCTACTCATAAACAATTATAATAAAAAAATTTCAAATTCCTCAAAAACATAGCAAGCTGAATATCCTTATTATTGAAAAACTATGAAAATAGGAATATTAACAAGTGAATCATCCTAAATAGTAAGTGTCTATGCCAAAGCCTGATTGAAAATTTTCTGCAGTTTATGCAAGGAACAAGAAAATAATTTATCATTCTGCAGCTATTGTGCACCACCTTGTGGCACCTGCAAAAAATGTTGCATTCATCATGGTTTCCTAGTTGATATGATGCCTGAATCGCTGTTCGAAAGTAAAATCACACAACCTAAAACAAACAAGAAAAAAAAAAAAAGCAGCAGAAAAGTACCCCAAGATTTAATATGGAAAATTTTGAAACCAGAAAAAAACTACATAGCCACACCACACCAAGAAATTTAATATGAAAATTGGGAGAAGTTATGAAGATCTCTATTCTCACCCTCTTATTTTATCTCTCTTCACTATACACATAATTATCTCCTCAAAACAGATAAGAGAGGCACTTAAAAAGGTCCAATGGATGCAACCCTTTTAGTGAAATAAGAATAAAATAATACAGACATGAAGCGCTAAACTTAGGAAGAGAAGAGGCAGAAAAATTCAAATTTTGCTTTTTTTCAATGCCTCATTCACAAAGTAAATAGGTTCAAGTACTTCTTATCTTCACCCAGCCCAATCCGAGTAAACAAAACAACATGATAAATTCTTTTACAAACATGTAAAGATCCCATGAAGAAAGCTAACCAGTTAAGACGATAGCATTGACATCATTCCTCTTCATTGCCTCCACGTACTTTTCCTTCAATCCAGCAAAAACTGCAAGACAAGCAGGATAAAACCCAATGATAAAGCTAATCCAGCAGAGCTAAGCTTAAGTACTTGACAAGAATTCTAGACCTGTCATATAATATTCTACTATTAACAGACATTTGTACTTCGTTTCAATGACACCTTATTAAATCTATATCAACATGACAAGTTAATCAAAGAGCATCTAAATATCAGGAATCTAATTATCAAAAGAAAAAGAAATCATAACCGTCACCGACCATTCAAAACAATATTAAATTCCCTAAACAATAATCACACAAAATTAAAAAGAAAACGTTGCAACTAATACAGAATAACATTTTCTATAACAACAAAAACATTTAGATAACATTATAATGCTTCAACCAAATAAAAATAAGCTAAATCCAGTTCAAATACAGCAATGCTTCCAAAAACCTAACAAAACGGAAGTTAAATGAGCAGCACAGAAAACATCGGATAAGTTACTCGATGGAGCCAGCGCATTGACAGGAGGATTCCACATTGTAATCACCGCCACTCCATCGCTTCCGACCTCCATCGCCACTCCAGCCCTCGACATTACTCCAATCGAGAGAGAAATCGGGCTTCCTTCTTCCTCTGCTGGCCTAACTCTCGAATCGAACTAGTTCGGCACAACCAGGACCACCAGAAGCGGAGGTGTATAAATACCCCCGGGCCGTTAAACACACCCAGCTTTTTAGGAAATGCACGCCTGCCCCACCGGCGCGTGTGAAAGCAGTTGCGACCATTGCCGCGGCATTGGGCGTCGAATAGCGAGAGCCGCGGTAAACTGGAGCGAAGATACCCGGTGGGCCCGGAAGAGGCGATCGCCGTTAAAATTTACAACAAACACCAAACGGACGGTCGGATTGGGGAGGAAGTAGGCGCGTTAAGTTGCTCCGCGGAGATGGTGTAGTTTAGTGGAAAGTGAGGAGAATTTATGATGACCGACGACTTGGACGTTTACGTCGTTGATAGTATTTGCTTCATACTATCGTGCGAAACGTTAGAAAACTTCGAAGTGTATCACGTGGCGACATGTGATTTGGTAATTTTAGAATTTTCTTAGGGGTTCAAGAAGATGTTGGAGATTTTTTTTATTTTTTTGTTAATCATAATAAAAATTTGACTAATTTTTTTTCAAAGCTGCTCATATGGCTGATAATATATATGAGATTTTTAATATATCAATTTCTCATAACACTGAAATATTTTGGTTTTATCAATTTCTACTAAAAGGCTTGCTTCTTCTAATTTTCAACTATTGTTAAATTGAAAAACTAATTTACTTGTTGGGTGAAAAGCTAAGATCGTGTGTTTTGCTGGTAGTGTAATATCCAAGTTTTATAGCAGGTAAATATAATTTATTTTAGTGGAATTGTAATTTTTAATAATTAGAATATTGTTATGTAATTATTAGTAACTATTTTAAGAACTATAATATAATTCTTATATTCCTAAATAGATGCTTAAGTTGGGTTTAGAGAGAGAGAGAGAGCAGTTATGCAATTGTGAGTGGGCCCTCACAAAAGCTCTTATCCTATTCCTATTGTTTCACATACGTGGAAGAGAAAGGGAGTCGGCATAGTGCAATAGGCACTGTTTCAAGTTTCGGTAAAGTGACCTGTAGTTATAAGGCGTAGGAGAAGGCAGTATAGTGGAAGTTCTGTAAGAAAAATTGGCTTTCTTTCTTTGTGGACTCGGTACAGATAATAGTAAAAGAAATATTTCTTTAACATAAATTAAATTATATTATGATTACGGTTGAATTAAAGTTTCCTTAGCAATCCACTAATATAGCAATAATATAATAAATTATATTATTCCTGAATAGCCACTAATGAAAGCATGCGTTGGCTGATGGCTAATCTAAGAGATGCATTGTTTGAAGCCTTAGCACAGTAGTGGATATCGGGAAACTCGTATGTTACTCAGTATTTCTTAAACAAAAGCCTTGTTTGTGGGTGCTAGTAGTAGAAGAGAAGCAGTTAGCGGAGGAGCGTAGCAAGCGGAGAGGAATATCTGTGAGAAACAGTGGCAGTGAAGAGGATTTTCTCGGTCAAGTAAGAAGAAAATTCAAGTTCTGATGAATTGAAGAGGAGTTCAACGACGGCTTATAAGTGGTGAAAGCAAGTAGCAACTCCACGCCTTACAGAGAACAGAAAATTGCAGATTTCACCATTCACCATTTCGGCACAGTGCAGACAACGGGCAGGAACTGTAGATCGGTTCGGCTCTGTGGTAGAAGGCGGCACTAGGATTTTTGAGACAACTATTAAAAGGTTTGTGGGAAATTGTCATCAAATTTTGAATGTGATTAATATAGAACTATATGATGAAGGGTGAGTTGATGTAAGTTTGCAAAATAATGATTGAAACAGTAAAGGAAAACTAAGAAGTTCAAATTGAAGAATGACTAAATCATAGAAAATAGAAAAAGGTAAGAATCCTAATTTGCCCTATCTTTTATACAAGTTCAATTCAATGAAGTTCTTATGCAAATCATAATTTAGGGTGATATAGATTATATAGCCTTATGCAAAGAGGAGGCTTTGGAGTGACTTATAATAGAAGAAGAGTAAGAAGTGAAGGTTTAGAAGAAGCAATCCGTCAAGAAGGTAAGTAATGCAAATTAAAGTTTTAAATGTAATTCTTGTTAATTTTACATGGTATATTGGTATTTGAATGAATGCACGAGAAATATGCATTACAAGTAATTCTCTGGCTAAAGGATGTTCCTAAACTGGTTTCCATATATGAAAGACCTCTTATGTATTTGCATCATGAAACTTTCAAATAAGAGTTCTTATGTTTCATTAAAGATTTTGCTAGTTGGAAATATCTTGGAAAGAATCTCCATTGTTAACATATGATGGACTGTTTCATTACACAAATGAGTAGCATATAAAGATCTTTATGAAAGCAACAATTTAAGTATGAGTTATGTTATAAAAGTGTATTGAGTGTCAATTTAACATAAAGTTTGGCTATATATATGATGAATGATTTACAAGAATAGTTGGGACAAAAGGGTTCCCAAATATGTAACTACCTTGTAAGTGGGGCAAAAGGGACCCCAAAAGAAATGATACCTGCATAGCATGTTGGGCAAAAGTGACCCCTAAGGAGGCAAAAGGGATCTCTATGGAATTTAATGGCGATAATGCCAGGTTATCCTAGGCTCCATTGAATTTGTTTATGAAAGAATAGCCAAACCTTTTTATGAGAAAATTTGATATTCAGTATGGATCTAAGATAACAGTTAAAGGTAATGTCAAATAAGATGTTTTGTAGTTTCTAATAGTTTAAATTTTTATTTATGTTTTAATGTTCTAAATTTTAATAGGCATATTTAATACTAATTACAACTGCATTACTTACTGAGTCTCATAGCTCACCAATATTTTCATTACTAGCTGATGTTACAGGAAAAGAGAAAGAAAAAGTGGTTGCTGACTAGTTCAAGTATTTCAATCCTAGATATTAATTTTTTTTTCTGTTTGTAAAACTAAACTAAAGGTATGTTAGTATTCCCATGGAATGTTTGTTTCGAATTTTTATGGCTCAATAATTATAATTTATGATTACTTAAAATTTTGAAGTACTTCTGTTGATGTACTAGTAAAGGTTTATGATATGTTAATACGTAAACATGCAAATGATGGATTGTTTCAAATGGTTATAAAATGAAAAATGTTATGTTTTATTTGTTACACTCTACAGTAATGTTTAAGGGTACCATGGGGTGTTACAGGTAGACTATAATTTCTCAAGTTCTCTATTTGTAATACTATATTTTATTAGATTACGGGTATTATTCTTCCTAAATATTGTAGCAAATTTATTAGGAAGGTTTGCTCTAATTTTCTATTTCATGGAGATGATAATGCTAGATGTTTGTCAGCCAAAAAAGTTTTGGATTCTAGATATTTTTTATCTTAATTCTTTATATTATGATTTGAGTTGTTCTCTTATATGACATATTTTAAATGATCATTATGTATTAGCTGGTTGGGTTAAGCACAAGTTTATTTCTCTTTGGAAACCTCCCTCACCTAACGCTTCTGCTTTTTAGAAATATATTTTGTTCCACTGCTTGGGATATTAAAAGAAATATCTCTTTCATTATTCATTCTAATAGCTCCATTTCCTCTATTGGGACCCTTAGTGTGGGTGCAGAGCTTTACATGAGATCGTGGATTCTAATTGTTGCTCTTCTCTTCAGTCTACCTTAGTTGATAATTTGATAACAACCGGTTGTTGAAATTTTGCTAGATTATGTTACTTCTTTTATTTCACAGTCAGTTTTTATATTTTTATTTGTAATCAATTTGTTTATTGTATCTCTTAGGGTTGGTGTGCTTCTCCCACCTTTTAAGATTTTTCATGTTGTTTTTTTATGATGATTTAACACAAGTAGAATGGTGCTCTTTTATCTTGCATAAGAAGTTTGCTATGCATTTTTCGTGCTATGCTTGGATGGCATTGTTAAAAAGGTTAAAAAAGGTAGATATTCTTTCTAAAAGAATTTAAATGTCCCATTCACATGTGTTTTATGTGCTAAAGCTGAGGAGAATCATAATCACTCATTCTTTGAGTGTGATTTTTCATTCTTCATTATTTTTGATTTGTTGTTGGGATTAAATTTCTTTTTTCTTAGGCCAACACTTCTTCAAGTTTTAGATTTTATTTATGTATGAACTTTTGGAGAAGGATGCAATTTTTTTTTTCTTATTACCTGCTGCTCTTTATATTTCATATAGAAAGAAATAAACAATATAAAATTTGCTGGAGACATTAACTATGCAAGAACTGTTGGTAGGCTAATTAAGAAGGCTGTCCTGGCTAAAATTTCATCATGGAAATCTTATCGTATTATTAAGCACTTAGTTCAATGAAGGATGGTATTTGGTGTTTTTTTGCTATAGTGGGTCCTCATATGGACTATTTTTCTTCTATTTTTTTTTTTTTTGGATTGTTTGTTGGATTTGTGTTGTGTTGGCCTATTTTTTAGTTTGCTTCGTATTGGAGTTTGTGTTATTTTATTTATTGGCTGTTGGGGAGAAGGGACAATGATGAATGGGTCTCATTTGATTGTCCCTTGGAAGGTTGACCCGACAACCAATTTTTAGATTTGGATGGTCATTCCTAGCAACCAAGGGCATGGTGCTTCTATTATAGTTCTTATCTCTTGGATGGTTGGCTCGGCTATCAATGCTTGTTTGGATGGTCGTTTTTAGCTATTCATGGGATTTGGCTCACTTATGTGATATTATTTGATGCCTAGGATATATATTGATCTTTTTGAGTCCCTTAGTTTTGGGTTTCTTAGTTTTTATAACCTTGATCATTGGTATTTTTTATTTTTTAAAGCATTTTTCTTAAAATCTTTTTATAAGGATTCTCTGTTTTTTCTTGTTTTTCTTCTATGTTGAAATATTTTCATTAGTTAATAAAAATTGGGCATAATTGCTCCTAATTTTCCCATTTAAATGGAAGCATACATAAAAGTTTTTTATTAGGAGTGAGGTTAACAATAATTTTAAACAGGAACAAAGTCGAGAAATATTTTGGTGTAGTGTAAATGTGAAGAAAATATCAAAATATTTGGCATTTTTTGTGCAACCAAAATGTTGGGCGATTGCACGTAATTAAGTCACAAATTTTCGTGTCTTCTGCAAGGAACTTTTATTTGGTCCGGTGAACGTACGCAACTCTACGTTCGGCCAGAGCGGTATTTCTCATTTTTGCAAAGCAATACCTAGCAAATACCGAGCAAATACCGAGCAATACTGAGAAAATCGCGAACAAAGCATTCCCGGGTTCCGCTCTGGGTCAAGTCGTCGGGCCGCACGGTTTAGAGTAAGAGCACGTGGCGACAAGTTATTGACGGCCGAACGTATCTCTACGTCCGATCAGAGGACGTAATAATTGTTCAGGTTTAAACCCATATAAAATAACCAGAAATATTGGCTTTCAGTTGCCTTCTCACTTCGCAGTCTTCACTCTTCACTGCATTGGTAGCTCCGTACCCTTACGCATGCTCAATCGGTGCTTCGGCGATCGCTTCAGGTTCTGAATTTAATTCTCTAAATCTCTTCATGGTCCGAATTTATGATTTTTTGATTTATTCAAATTTCATATTTAGGTTAACAACCTAAAATCTCGCTCCTTTAACGGTCCAACTGCCGATATTAGTTGGATTTTGATCATACTCGCTTGTTCTGAATCTCTGATCGAGACTTTTCCGGCAACTCCACGCATTCGGCTTGCGGAAAGTCGGAAGCTGAAAGGTCAGTAGAAATATTTTCATTTATTTCCATTTCGTTTCTCAAGATGAGAAAAGTTTGGGATACGATTATGGTCTCCGTCTGTTCGTTATCTCTTCCGTCGAGTCTTTCCCCAACGCAAAAAAAAATCCAAACTTCGACTGTTCTTCCGTCGATTTTATTTCTCTGACTTAATAATTCTGTTCTCAGTTCAATTTCCTTTTCTCTCTATTGGAGAAGAGCTCGGGAAGAAGAAATCAAAGACGTGGCTCTTCCATGGACGTTCGCAGCCCTAATCAGGGAATCATCATCGTCCCGGACGGGAACTCCTGTAAAGGCAGCGGCTTTAACGATCCCATTGAGATCGATGACGAGGTCGAGTTTCTCGGAGTGTTGGAAATGTTAAACAACATAGTATTATATTCTAAATTCAATTACTGTCATATTTTTTTATTTAAATATCCAAAAAATATATTTAAATCTACAAAAAATTAATTTATGTTATAGATTTCAAGTTAAACATTAAGTTATCTCACTTCTAATTATATTATTCAATAACTTGTATCTTCTCATGTAAAAAATTATTGTTATGGTTAATGATCATTTAAATACACTAATATAATATTATTACATTTTATCATACTTTTCAACGTTTTAATTTTATTTCTCAGTTAATATATTAAATATTTATATAAAAGTTAGTTTATGCACTTCAAATTATTATTATTATAAAAATTTGAACTTTAAATTAAACTAATTCATAATATTTCTTATAATTTTTTTTTAAATTTATCTTTCAAATAAATTAATAAATATATAATAGCATAAATAATTTTAAAGAAAACAACAATTTTATGACGCTTAACAAATTTCTTAATTTAAATCTCATACATCATATTCAAATTTTGGAAGAAATAAGGTGTGTCATATATTTGAAATTAATAATTAAAATATATATACTTTTAAAAGATATTGTGGGTCTCCGAAAGAGAAATTGCAAGTGGAGGTTAGAAATCAAAGGATACGATAGCATTATCCCGCATGACATTCTGGTTCTACATCAATATTATGCTGGATGTTAGTTATTAATTGGTTATGCATTTGAAAGAAAAGTATTAACCGTTCAACCGTCTGTTTCCATCTCGTTAATTCGAATATTCGGGTCGGATCGTGACACTTCCACTATGGTTGAATATTGTAAATAATAAGCTAATTCCATCTTTTGGTTAGATGGAACATTTCACAACAATGCCTTTTTGAGTGACAGCATAATATGGTGGCAATGCAGGTGTGATAACACTCCAGAAGCTTCTCACTACCTTAAGAATTTATTTGAGAGAAAATACTGAAAGAAACAGTTTATAAGCTTCACTCACACAAAATTTCCATAATTCCTAACAGTTCAAACCACATCTCTGTGAATTATACATGATGATCATGGTGTTTCTGTTGCATTGGACAAGCGGCTTGAAGGGCAAGCAAGCAGGTGAGCAGAAACATTACATGCGTGATATTGAAGCGTTTGGAGGGGACGCTGTCGTGCTCTGTTGGAAATGAAATGAAAGTACATAAGCGGAGTTCATTCCAAAAACATATATAAAGGGAAAAAAAACATACAAATGAAGAATGCGTACATGCACATTCAAGCAATTTTGAAACATTTCTCTAAGACTAAACTTGGTCACAATGTTTTTTTTTTTTATTTTAATGTTGCTTTGTTGCGTGCCAATGGCATTGACAGATATTAACATCTTAGTATTATATAAATATCTAACACAGGATAAAAGAGGGTTGCAAGAGAAATAATTTTTTTTTTAATGTTACTTTGTGATGCATGTTCTATTTCACTTATGTCATTAAGTAGACAGAGCCGACAATGTTCGACCAACAAAAATGAAATTATTCAGTATCATGATGATGACCGTGTTGACAGAAAATCTCAACCAGAAGGAACTATAAATATTTTAAATGCCTCCCAAATTCATAAGAAAATTCAAAACTCAAAAGTTATCAAAACCTAAAATATTTAAAATTGAAATAAAAACACCAAAAAATTAAAATCAAAACACTCATTAACCCTCCATAATAGTTTGCCGAGATAAATAAATCTGAAAATCACTTTAGCTCACAAAGAGTGAATGTCTGGTCGAGAATATTCTTAGGATTCATTCTCAAATTATCTCTTGTCAGTAAGGACGTGACACATGTCCTCTAATTGGTGATCTCGCCGCCAAATGGCACCATAGGTAAATAGTGATGATCAGGATCCTCTAACCAAGTGATTTTGATGTCAAATGACACCATTAAATTACGGTCATGGTCATATCATGTATATTCCCCAATGACGGTAAATCATTGAGTAATGAATTAATAAGATATCATCGATAGGGCACAAAGTCCTCTATTAGCTAAGGTGGCTTCAAATTTATCTCCTTAAGCAAACATCCACTCTAAATCTACAATATACCTTTGGACGAAGCAACTCATGGCTGTCAACAAGGATCCTTCTGTCACGTTAGGTCAACTAACTCCTCTGACTAAGTAGACTAGGGGCCATGATGACCCGGGACGACTAAACCATAGGATCTTGATCAGGTTCATCGTCATTTCCCCCACCATCCACTTTAAGTGCAAGAAAGTGAATTTCTAATTTTAAATGTTAAATTTTGAATGCCCAAATCACGTTGCTACCATATGTCGGATACTATATATCTGTTTGACGACAAGCCTTAATCAAAAGTTATCTCTCACTATAGAATTAACTATAAGTTTTCCCCTATATGAAACCTAAACTCAAATCATAAAGTCTTTGCAAAATGAGAGTTAAATCTCTGGAACTTACTCGTTAAAACTCTCCTCGACAACCCGAAATAAAGAAAGGGGCAGCGAAGAGGCCGAGGTGCGAATTTTCGAAAGCCCATAAGGTGGTTGGAGAACTATTGTTAGGCGACAATGATTAGAGAACTACAGTTGGGAAAAGGTAGTCGGAGGACTATAATATAATGATGGTGGTTAAGAGACCATTATCGAGCGACTATGGTCATTAGAATGTAGTCAAGCTATAGTGCTCGAAGGATAATAATCAGACAACAGTGGTTGGAGGATCATAATCGAATGATGATCAAATGAGAGTAGTTGGGTAATAATGATCGGAGGACAGTGATGAGAAATATTGGTCAGATGAACATAATCGGGTGATGGTGACAAGGATTATAGTCTAACAATAATGATCAAAGGACCATGGTCAAGCGACTGTGGTTGTAGGACCGTAATAAAGTAACAATGGTTGAGAAGTAAAATTAGATGATGGTGATCGGAGGACCATATTCGAATGATTGGGATTGAAGGACCTTAGTTAAGCAATAGTAGTCAGAGAGCCATAATCGAATGATGATGGTTGGATGACAATAAACATGTGATGGTGTTCAGAAGACTGTAGTCAAGCAATGGTAGTTGGAGGCTTGCAGTTGAGAGACAAGGGTCAGAGGATCATAGTAGGTAAATGGTAGTTGGAGGATCATAGTCAGGAGATGATGTTCAAGAGACTACAATTGAGCAACAGTGGTTGGAGGATTGTAATCGGGCGAAGGTGGCTGGAGGATCATAATTGTGCAAAGATGGTCGGAGGATTGTAGTTGGATGACAATTGTCATAGGACCATAATCAAGTAAAGGTTGTCATAGGATAATAATCATGTGATGGTGGTCGGAGGATTGTAATAGGAAAATGGTGGACGGAGGACCATTATCAAGCAATGGTGGCTGGTCAGATGATGACGGTCAATCGATGGTCCAATGGCATTTCTCGAATGATGGTAGTTAAACTATGATGGCTAACAATAGGGGTCGAATGGCAGTGATCTGATGGCAATGTTTGGGAAGTGGTACGACGGCGTTTAGATTGTGATGGCTAATAATAAGGGGCAAATGGCAGTGGCATGATGGTGGTGGACTGGAGTGTTACTTGAGTGACGCTCTAAGATTTTTCAAGCCTTCTAGTTCAATTAAATCTCAAGCTAAGGGTTCAAGCCCTTTTATGTAGATAGTGGGGACCTATTTCTAAATTTTTTTAGTGGTATGCCCCAAAAATATAGGCAAAATTTAGAACATTCTTTTATAGAACTCTTATAAATTTCCTCGATTTTATATCATTCTTTCAACATTTAAGTTCCCTAATGATGATGAAATTAGAGGATTTCAGACTACATGTATTCATCTTGTTGAAATGCTCAATTTGACTATAAGAATGAGAGATTGTCAAACGTTTGGTCCTCTAATAAATGTCCCAAAGTTTCAATTACACTTTAAGTGCTTGATTTGGGCTCATTGGGGTTAGATCAGATCACTATTGGTATTGATGGGTTCATCTAATTATAACATTCAATTTGACCATAAGTTCGCTAAAATCAGAGTTCAAATGGCTCAAAATTTAATTTCAAAAGTTTCTTATTTAAATATACATCGAGATTCAAGCTAGATAAAGTACGTATCCAGGATACTAGATTAGCTATTTTTTAATGTAGCTATATCTATGATATGAAACGTAAATTGGATAACAGGTTATGTTAAATCTATCTATAATGTCTTTAGCAATAAAAAAGAAAAAAACTGATCTGTCCAAAATATCAAAGAATCCACCAACCTTCTTTCATTAATAAGGGAGTCATTGTTGGAGTATTCATAGTTCTAAGTTAGATATTTTGTTTTTCTGATAATCACATTGCATGTAAACCATGCAATACCAAGTAAAATCA